TTTAATTTAATATATTTTTTTAATAATAGCATAATTCACTCTAAAGAAATTGATATAATCGGTTGATCTTATCTATTAACTTGTCCATTTCGAAGTAAAAGCCTTGCTACTCGACTGCTGACCTTTGTACGCAAAATTGTTGCGCAGTTGCACAGGAGAGTGTTTTGTCAAGAGCCTCTTTATATAAATAACCATTCACGGCGTTAAAGAAGTACAATAAAACAAAGTGTCATAAATAAAATGCGACGTATTGCATTAATGGCTGTTGCAGAAAACTGCATAAAGCAGCTACTGCGGCCAATGCACTCGTGTAATAACCAGGGGAGATCAACGCGTCTTTGGGGCGACTGCAACGCGGCCAAACAAAGTGGCAAAAAAATAAAAAAGGAGGGAAAAAATGTTGCCACTTGAACTGCATTCTGTTTGGCTGTACAAAAAAAAAAAAAAAAAAAATATATATATATATCTGTATATACATATATATATATGTATATATATATTTTACAACAATGCGTATAAATTGTGATTTCCAAGTAGCATTCAACTGGCAAGTGCAGTCTGCCGTCGCGTAATGGAGTCACTGTGTGAATTATGTGTGTGCGTGTGTGCCTCAACCTCTAATGAACGAGTGGGGTTAGTCTTGTGCACGCTTCGCTACTTGCCAACTGACTGACTGGCAGTGTGTCAAGCCAGAGAAAAAGAATGCCCAAGTCCTGTGGCGCCAAGTTAGGGGCGTGGCAACATGCGTGTTCTCGCTTGGTTGATTTTAGCATACTCACACGCATTCAGCACACAACCGGCAATGTACTCAAAATGAGGGTCCATTCAGTCGGCCCCTCTGAGAGCAGCTGCTCATTTCAGGCGCCACCTTTAATATGCTACTAAATGGCAGTAAGGGAAGGGTCAGGACTGCAAATTGAAGCAGACTGCACATTTTTGATAAGTGTGAAAGAGTTAACACGTTCAACAAAGTTTTCATCATTTTATACCGCTTGATGTGCGTATTACAATTTGCTGCAAAGTGTTTAACGTGTAGAAAGAGAGATAACTTTGATTCTATATATAATCTAGAATTAAAAAAAATACATACAAAATTTTAGTTTTCTTCTCGATTGTTTTTTTTTTTACTATAAGTGGCTTTTTCTCTCTAAAACTGTGTATCTAGGCGTTTCTTTTTTGGGCTGACAATTAATAGCTGTTATTTACAGTGTGAAAATAAATTCGCTTATTTGAGCTGATGTTAACTGAATTACTCAAATTTTAAAGGATTGAAATTATTGATTAATTGATTAAAAAGTGTTACGTTGGAAAAGCTTATTGCACAGAATGTTGGGTCTGCAACCGTCCAAACTAACCTAACCCTTACTGTATCAAATATTTTTGAATGATTAGAGTGTTAAGTTTGGTCGTCAAGGAAAGGTACAGTCACAGGACAAGAAAAGAGTTGGTCTCGGCGAAGTTCTTATTCAAACTTCTGAATTGATGTGTGCAATATTTCAGACAAGTGATTTGTAGCTTCTTGTTTGATACTGAATTAGTTATGCATGTCCATGAAATATTTCATGTTAAATCCTTCTGCACATGTATTCTTGTGTTCCTTACCGATGAAGGCATTCTTACCATTAAAAACTATTTACACAATTTATTATATCACTGTTTCTTTTCTGTGCATGGTATCTATCAGTTAGGTTAACTCTCAATTATAGCACACCTGTATTTTTTTCATACAGTGTTGCGTGCGTGCCTGCCGAGAGTAGCTAATAAAGTTAGACAGTTTAAGACGTTGCTGGAATGGCTGGGCAGCAATTAAGCCATAAAAGGAACTATAAGCTGGGGGAAAAGAGTTACGGGGGCAAAAAGTTCCGTTTCCTTTTGGGCTGTGTCAACAAGTGAAGCATGGCAACAACGCACTTTGCACTAATCGAACTTTATGTTCTGCTCTTTGGCCAAGTTCCATGAACTTTCTTGCGTACTTGGGGTTTACTCTAGTTGCACTCCTTTGCCTGCTGCTTCAGTGCAAGGCACAAGTTTTTTGATAATAAATTAGAAACCTTTAAAGTGAAACCCCCCCATTACATATATGGCACAAAGTTGAAAAGTGCAGACAATGTAAGTTTATTTGGGGATATTATTTATTGGTGCATTTCATTTGTGGATTGCGCTGAAATCAACATTATTAAAAAGTTGGGGAACAGACGCTTAATACCGGTTGTTAGTAAATAACTTTAAATGCTATACAAAAGATCGCAAGAATGAAACTCTATGACTATTGACTTACTATAAATTTTTTAAGGCCTTTACCATATTTTAATAATAGTTAAGAGACCAAAAATCCAAAGGAAACCCAATATGGTTGTTATATCAATAGTTGACTAAATACATTGTGTTCCAAAATAGTTATATTTTATAATATTCAGTTGTAACAGTCCATTAGGCGCTGCTGCAGCACTTCTATAATTGGCAATTACGTGCATAAATGCATTACGCGAAAAGAGCCTTTAGGTCTCGATTCGTCTCATTCATTAAATTAAAAAACTTAACTGCCACAATAAGTCTTTTAATTAGCTTGTTTAGCATTCCAAATGATTCGACATTTGATTTCAAGCTATTGTCTAAACACAAATTTTGCTAAATAAACGCACTCTAAACGAAGCTAATTAAATGCAAAAATTTCTCCCACGCTAAAATTGTCACACACACACACACACAAATTTTCACACACTTTACATAGAGGGAGAGAAAGAGAGAGAACGAAGCCAAGCAATCAGTCGGAATCATTGAAAAGCACATCTATCAAATGCAATAAACAGCAACAAATGTCGCCTAACTAACAACAATTTAAGACCGACTAAAATGTAAGTGGCTTTTGTGTAAGCTCATTAAAATGATTATACCCGAATGTACACACGACAAACCCCCAAATTCACATACACACTCACACACACATGCATAACGTTGTCAAATGCGCGAGCAACTATTATCGCCTGTTGTTATTGTTGATGTTGCAGTTGTCTATTCGTCAAATTGCATGAAAGCTTTGCAACAAGTCACAATGGCATCCCCTGCAGCTTTGTATACACAACACTCATTAAAAATAGCGAAGGGTTATCACTTTAATTGTAAAGTATAATATTGATCAATATCAAAAGTCGTATTAATGTGATCACATCTGTTGGTTTGCAATCTTGTCTGTTATTTTTGAAGATATATTTGATAAGTGTGCAATATAAATATAAGTATTTTGGTTGCAAACAATAAATTTATGTCAAATTGGTTTTCAACATCTGATTGCTTCTCAATACTAATCGAGAAATATATGAAGATCTTGGTTCCTAATGTATATTAGAGGAAATACCGCAACTTAGCTCCAGATACACGAGACGACCATCTCAACAACCTGGTCATTAAGCTGCTGGACAACAGTACTGCCACCAGAAGACTACAGATATTCCTTTTAGAACTAGTCTAGTTTCAATTTAATCAGTCAATTTCAGATTATTATTAATATAATATCATTATCTGGATCCACACAGCTTGAAATTTCCAATCCTCCACGCGCTATACATATAACTAAATAATGTAACGATTTAAAGTAAAGAATAATAAATTAATAAATAATATATATATCACATAGCTGAATGAATAGTTTTGTTTTCACAACATATCTTAAGCACCCAATGGGGATTTATTTAATTTTTGTCAGGCAAAGTAACAGTTCTTTTTAAACCTTTTACGGATAAATTAAAAAATAAATAATTTGATAATAATTTGAAAAGGAGGTTTAAGTGTATTTAATCTTTGGCAACCTAAAGTAAGTTTTGTTTTGTTTATCTAGTTGCTGTTGTCGGCAGCCAGTTTTCAGCTTGTAAGATTGGTACGTCTTTTGTTATAGTCGGTAGCTGATTTTGTCGTTGTTACCGCTTGCACAATAAAACCAACAACAATGTTGCACAATGCGCACATGGTGCTGCAACTTTCATTGCCAGTGTCATTGTTGCCGCATTGTGGCGCTTGTGTGTCTGTGAGTCATCTGTGCCTCAATTTCTTGCTGAGTTGCATACAAAACTGACCATTCAACTGGTAAGAGATTTTTCTCTTGCTGTTGCAGCTGACAATTTCTCAGCAGTGTGGCAGGATATGCAAATTGCAACGTTGCCTAGTTTTCATAAGAGCTTGAAAACAAATAACAGACTTTGTCTACAAAACACAAAAAAAGGTTTATATTTGGCTGTACAAGGGATTCCTTTATTCACAAAGACAAAGTTTACAAAACAAAAAAATCCTTTTCGCGGTTGTATAGCAAATTAGGTGTAATTAACTATATAAAAAACTATAATCAATCATATTAAAACTGGTTAAGCTGATTTTGATGTTAGGCTTAATAAGTATTATAAAAATCTATAAATACCTACGAAATGGGAATTTCATTTTCTTAAAATTGAAACCATCGCTTTTTGTTTCAATTTTAACAAAATTCCCACATAAGAAGTACATATCTGAAAAATAGAATAAAAAGCTTTTCTAATTAAACAAAATTGTTCTTCTTCTTCAAACAATTTTTTCAGTATATAAAGCATTGCATTGAGACAACCCCATACAACCCTTTTAGAGACAGTGCTGTCAAATGTCAAATACCTTTTTCAGGACTAACAAATGCAATATACAATACGCAATTTACACTTACAGCCCAACGCTATGAAAATTTGACAAGTTACGGGTTTGCCGGAACACGATGAATAACCGAAAATGATTAACAACCAAAAGCACTTATGGCAAATACAACACAAGTGTCAAAACTGAAGTGAAATGTTATCAAACATTTTGAAGGTTGACTTCAATTGAGACTGGCGCCAGAAAAATAGAAGAATGAAGTCAGTGTTCAACTTTGCCATCATAAATAAATCATACATATTTGTTTGCTCTGCTTTTCTCTGTTCTCTATAATAAACGCGCAAATTTTTTACTTTTGAAAGTTGCTTTGTGACTTGGGGTTTACTTACCTTCGCGTACATTCTCGTAGGCATCCTCAACATGCGACTCCTTGTAGATAATAGAGTGAAAATCAAGTTCGTCCTGTGCGCCGCCAGAGCTCTCATCCGTTTTGGGAAGCACAGTCGTAGACAACTCTGACTGCTCGAAAGTGCTCGAGTACGTTTCGAATGTGGTTCTAGATGTTGTTGTTGTGGATGTGCTTGCACCATTTTTATTTATGAACTTTTCTGTCTTATTATCAATGGCAGTTTTGTTGTGGTAGTTGTTGCTTTGTGTATCCTTTGTGTTGGTGGACCCCGTTATCGTCGTGGACGTTGTTGTCGCGGTGGTCGTTGTCGTCGAGCGATTTGTGGGAAAATAATGTTTGGCATGTTCAACATAATAGGCATCACGTTCCGTTATAATTTTACCCTCGAAAACCCCATTGTGTATGGAACCAAATACATAACTATTACGATCCCCTATCACTTCGCCCTCATAGATATGATCCGTTGAGACATCAATGGGGCCGTTGCTATCATAAGACTGCAAAATGATGTATTCATATTTTAGTATGTATATTACGTTGAATGAAGTTAATAAATACTCACGTCTAACTTATCACTAAATGTATTTAAATCACGTTTTAATCTAAGATGGAAGTCTCTTCCATGTGCTGCAAACTTTAAATGTACAAAATGATCTTTGGTCACCGATCGTCGGCTCTACTGTGACTAGCTTTAATGTGCTCATGATCATAGTTGAGTGTTTCATAGTGGGATATGTATTCGTTGAGTCGCTCACGACCTGTAAAGTAATCGAAAGCAATTTTAATTCATTAGTTATCATATTTCTAATGAACCTAAAAATAATATGTATTAATACAGAACTTTGTAAAAAATATATATCATTTATAAAATATATAAAGAGCTTTATAATCTTTCAGTTAAGATATGGATATAAATACGGATTTATTATATGAACATACCTGATATTATTTTTAAGTCATATATTCTGGGTATTGAGATAAACTTTTTTGAGTTCTCATAATAAAAAATGTGAATGTAAAAAATGATGGCCATAGTGGAAAATGGGTACTAATTGCATTATATGAATTAAATGATGTAGTGTTATCATAAAGAGGCACACAGACAATTGTTTGTTGGAACGATTAGACAGAAAACAAAAAATCAGAGAATATCGCCCTATTTTGGCCATCTGATATAATATTATCATAGTTCGTTCCGTTTGATTGCATTTAATTTTGATACATTTTTCTATACCAATCAGTATTTCATATGCTTTCAGTTTGGTTATTGTCACAGTCACGTATATGAAGAAGGTATGTATGTGTTTCTGTATGTATGTTTGCGTGCATAACTGGGCATAACACTCCATTAGGCAATTGTCCACGCCCCAAACTTAAGCCAAACAACGAGCGAAATTCCGATTGGCAGAACCCAAATGCACACAAATAATGCATTTATGAGAAAGTATGTGTGTGAGTGTGTGCTTGTGTATGTTTATGTGTGTGTAAGTATTTGTTAATGCATTAAAAATGTTGCACAAGCTGCTGGCAACGTAGAAATAAGCATGAATGTGTACGTTGTGTGTCGTCTGCCATTTCTGGCTCGGTTTCCAGTCCATCTGCCAAAATAAATATGTTTGCGCCAGGCACAAGTTTCACTTTGGCACTTTTACACTTGCACTTCAAGTTCGACAGGCCATGCCCCGAACGAGGAAAAGTAAAATGCATTACAAGAGAATGCATTGCATACACAGAGGCGGCAAAACACACACAGACAGACACAAGTGCCGTAAGAGTCAGTAGCGACAAAGGGGGAGTAGCTTGTGTGCTGGGGAGGAGCCGGCGGCCGTTGGCCCACTTTGCATCCATTAAATGCTATGAAACGTTAAAAGTATTAAGAGAATCAGCAAACGAAGCGCACGAAACATCAACTCAAATGGCAATGAAATGCAGCAACGTGAGGTTTTTCCAGATTGCATCTGTTGCTGTTGTTGTGATATTGTTGTTATTGCTACTGCCGTTGTTGTTATTGTTCTTGTTCAGTGTTACGCAACTGAAACTGGGCTCGTGTATTTTTAAAATGTGTGGGCTGGGGTTGCAGCATCCAACAGAGACGTTGCCTTTCAATTTCCGGCCTTCAATTAATTTGAAATTGCGGCTAGCCGATTTCAGTTTGGATTGTGGGCTTGAAATTGGTTTTCCAAGATTTATTTTTAAATGACGATCTTTGTTACATGAAACAGGGTTTTAAACCCTGAAACCTTTAAAAATGGAAAAGGGGTATAATGATTATTTATTCCAATGAGTACTTAAAGCTACCGGATTTTATAGTTTTTTTTTATGTTTTGAGTATATAATAATGACAATTAAAGTTCAATATTAGTACAGTACATATAATGGCTAATATTCAAATATAAATTTTAGTTTAAAACGATGAAAGCTAGCATTAAATTTATCACACCAAAACCGATAGGTATTTGAATTATCAATATCTTATATTCGATTTTGATTTTACGAAAATATTCATTGTTTCGATTTACTTTTATTAAATTGTCACAATACATTAATATTGTACAAGTATTTTCAATTAAATATGTGCCAATTTTTCTAAAGACCGTCTCATTACTTCTTCCGACTTTCTCTTAATCGCTGTACGTGTTTCGAGTAATCTGTAATGATTATAATTGACCATATCCTGTAATTCCCACTCTAGTCCCCTCAGACTAAACAACACTAGCCCAACTTCTTAGGGCTGACACTGGACAGGAAAATAGACTGGAATCTCAATAACGAGCTACGGGTTAAGAAAGCAACAGTCGCTTTATATACATGCAGGAAAGTATTGGACTTAATTGGGGTAAGACCCATCCTCTTATGTAGGGTTATAGTATGGTGGCCTTGTCTGAAAAGACAAACCATTCAGAAACAGCTTAATAAGGTTCAGCATATGGCTGAACTATGCATCTCAGGGTAGCACCTCATCAAATGAGACACTATACGCCATTTTAGATATTCTATGTGTGGAACTAGAAATCGTTGAACAGACAATACTCTCAACCATAAGACTGAGAGAACACAGTATAGATTACTCAGAAGTTGGGCCATACCTCTATTCAAGTAGAAAATACAATGATTACTACAAAAACGGACTACTGTGTGCCAATAGTACAACTCAATATATCGAGAGGAATGGACTAAAGCAACGCAAGGACCGCCGGCAACCGTAGCATTCTACACAAACGGTTCAAAGTTTGAAAATTGCGTTGGTGGCTATCCTTCAGTCTCACGAAACACTGTTGTATTTTCCATGCATAAGTACTAGTCCTAAAAGAACAAACAAAACTTATTTGCCTAATGAGGTCCACAATTAGTTCTCGTAACGTACATACTTATATTGATAGCCAAGCGGCGATCAAATCTATCAGCACTATGTCGTCCAAATCGATATCCGTAACAATGTGTCGCAAATCTCTACATGGCCCTAGAAATCTGAAATGTGCATTTTTTAAAAGTATGTTACTGGTAACTTCCCTAAGAGATAAATAAACAATATTGGATGGCCACGCCCACTTCGCCTACTCAAACCGAAACACCTCTTAGTGTGAATCGATAAAACAATATATCTCACACGATTTGAAAATTATATTGCTAGTACCACCCTCCAAAACTCCGGAAAAAATTTTCGACCACGTCCTTATGGTATCAACGTATTTCGCAGTCTGTTCCGCCCGACTGTAACGTTCTCTCTTGTTTTAATTTAAATTTAATATTACATTTTATTTTTAATTTAATTTTATATCTTTTTTACTTATTGTAGGTTTTTTATGTCGAGTTACTTTAGTTGAAATTAAATAATTAAAATTGCTGTATGCCAAGACCCACGTAATTTTTGTGAATTGATATTAAAGCTATTTTTAAGGATTCTCCTTATACCCACTAATTCATAGTAAATGACAGCTGGATCGCAAATGAACGACCAACCCACATGCCACAAATATTTACAACAATCAAACAACTCCTCGACTAAGCAACAGATTCAAGAATTACGTAAACTTATCGACCTTAGGATTATCAAATTAAATTCAAATGAAAAATTGACAGACACCGACAGCTGGCAATAAACTGAGTGAGCAGGCAAATATCATTAGGAAAACTCCTAGGTAGAGCAGCATTCACAACACCAACAGCTACAACCACAAAAAATACAACAATCATCAGGGTATATTGAAACCATAGCAGCCAACAAGAGGAAGAGATTGTTAATTGCGTTGAAAAAACCGCAAAAATCGATAGTTAAATGAAAATAAAGTCAGAAAAGCTGCGGTCAACCCAGATACAATGTACAACTATAGATACAAATAAACAGTGTGTCGGCAAAAAATACAAATGTATTTGGGGAAGAATTTTCGACAGCATATGTGATGAGTGAGAAATTTAATTACATAAAATGCGCAAAAAACTAAAAACTCGAAAAAAGATTCTAAAATGCTTGAAAATAAGAGAGGATAGTTGCTAAACAGAGAGACAAATATAATAATAAAGATGCAACAATAGTTTATGATGACTCAAAATTATAATTATAATTCTCTTTGCAACAGCAGAAGTCTCTTATACACAAAGGTAACATTAAGTGGGCAGTAAACAGCTTCAAGCCGTTCAAATCTTCAGGTCAAGATCAAATAAGCCCAGTCCAACTACATAAGGCGGGCAATACAGCCATAAACTGGCTACATGAGATCTTCGGGAAGATTCTGAAGGCTGGTCGCATCTCACCGACATGGCTCTAGTTAAAAATAACCTTCATACCCAAGCTGGGAAGCCATCGCACACCAGCACCAAAGATTTCAGACCCATCAGTCTGTCATCTTTCATGCTAAAGACCCTGGAACGACTTATAAGTCTTCATCTCACAGCATCCATTGACCCCAGGCTTATGTCGGAGTCCCAACATGCCTACAGGAACGGCAGATCCACAGATACTGCTCTTCACTCTGTGGTCTCTACTATAGAGAAATCTTTACTCCATAAGGAGTACCCTAATAGCGTTTCTCGACATTGAGGGCGCCTTTAACAACGTCACTCCGGCAGCCATAACTGGAGCTCTGCTGAGACTGGGGATTGACACCGGTACGGTGGGATTGATCAGTCAATTGCTCACTTGCAGGACTGTGATATCCAAACTAGGGTCGTCAACTCTCTACAGGTTCGTAAGCAGAGGTACGTATCAAGGAGGCGTCCTGTCACCCCTACTATGGAACATAGCAATTAACAAATTGCTGTGGGACATGGAGGGGGGCGGCTGCCGATTAGTTGCATACGCAGATAAGGTTGCGGTAATTTTCAGGGGAAAATACCCACAAACTCTCTGTGACCTCATGACTAGTAAACAAAACATACTTTCATGCTGGGCAAAAGAGAGTGGATTAGGGGTAAACCCAAATAAAACGGAACTGGTTCTTTTCACAAGAAATTACAAGGTCCTTTCTTTTATTCCACCCCGACTAAATAATGTGAATCTGATCTTCAACAACAGTGCAAATTTCCTAGGGCTGACACTGGATAGGAAACTAGACTGGAACCTAAATATCCAAACACGTGTTAAAAAGGCAACAGCCGCTCTATATACGTGTAGGAAATCCATTGGGCTGAAATGGAAATATCGTTCAATGGTTATACACAGATATATAGTCAGACCTATACTTCTGTATGGCGTCACAGTATGGTGGCCCTGTCTTAAAAAGAAAACCACCTTTTCTAAACTAAACAAAGTTCAGCGTAT